AAGTCACACAGCTGAGCAGCAGAGTTCCTGAGCCTGCCCCTGGCTCCTATGGGTCCCCGCAGCACAGGTCAGGTGCATTCAAACACCAGGAGGTGAGATCAAACTTCCAGGGCTCACCCTAAACGAGTCACACCACGCAGCCCCGGCCACAGAGCTTCCCGGTTCCCACCCATTATCACTTCCTCATAACAGAGAGCACCTAACAGGCGCCAGACACTGCAAGCAAGAGCTGGGGACTGGGACCTGGGCAACCGGTCCTTGCTCAGAAACAAGCTACAGCCAACCAAGGAAGAGAAGAAGAAAGTCGGCAGAGCGGGGAGAGAGCTGGGACAAGACTGCGGCGGCCCAGAGAGGCCCGGGGAGGCCCCACTGTGCCCCTCGGAGCTGGGTAACGCCATGGGCCAGGCACAGAGGGCTTCCTGCAGTGGACTCCCCCAGCGCAGCAGGGACGCTGCGGGATGTTCCCTACAGGATGCTCAGCTCGGCAAGGGAAGCTAAAGAAATGAGCAAAGCCCCAGCGCTGGCCCCACACGGACAGGAAATCCAGTCTGCAGTGGGAATCAGCCAACCCTACAATGTTCTGGCTGCATTCATTTGAAACTCAAGGTTTTCAAGGGGCCGGTGTTTAGGTAATGAATTCGCCTTCCAATAAAAACCAAAGACATCCTTCATGGGCCAAGGGTACATTTGCTACCTTTGACCAACTTATCTAAAAAATCTCAGAAGAACCCTGGGGAAAAGCAAAGCCTTTGGTTGCCCGCTTTCAAGATGAAGAAAGTCAGGTGCAGGCCAGTTTCTAAACCTGCCCCCAAGTACCCGGCTGCCAAGCAAAGCACAGGTAGCCGACTCTGTACCAGCTGCTCCACAGCAGCAGCAGCAGCGTGCAACACGGTGCGACCAATGTGCCAAACACACACCTCAGGAGAGCGTCACACAAGGTCCTCTGGCCAGGAGGCTGGGCCGCGGTGGTTCATGCGGCTGTCCAGTGACTGCTCCGAGAAGAGAGGGCAGAACAGCTAGAGGCCAGAATAAACCAACAACTGAAAGGAACCTCATGGCAGTCGGGGCAGGATGTGGCACTCCACCGCCCCTTCAGGCACCCAAAGCACCTACGGATCATCCACCTGCGCAACACTGGGTGCTGCTTTTGCGGGGCATCCAGGTCCCCAGGTGCAGCACAGCGCCAGGGGATCTTCCATGGCGACAGCTGCACCTAAGTGCCTCAAACTCAACCAGGGCCCTGAGTGCTGGGAAGCAAGGCTGCGTCCTCGGCACCCCAACAAAGGTTTACAGTTCTCTCTGCTCGAGGGACAAAGAACACCAACATCAAGGACTTGCTCCAGTCCAAACCAAATAAACCCCAGGTAGAGAAATATTCTGGGGAGGTTTCCAGACAGACAACTTCCTGTATCTCCCGGATGCCGTGAGAATTCTGAATGACAGAAATTTGCATCTGACTGTTGGCCACACTGACAGCACACCCTACCCCAAAACCCACCTTGACAACAGGCTTTCCACCTTACACAGCACACCCATGACCCTTCTGCCTCAGCCTTTTAGTACTGAGATTACAGGAGGTACTGCCCTGGCTGGCTGCCCCCCCACCCCACTTTTTTTCTTTTTGCAGGACTAGGGATTGAACCCAGGGTTTCTGCACTGAGCTACACGCCCAGCCCTGTTTTTATTTTTTTTATTCTGAGTCAGGGTCTCACTAAATTGGCCAGGGTGGGATGAACCTGAGATCCTCCTTGCTTCAGCCTCCCAAGTGACTAGAACTACAAGTGTGTGCCACCATGCCCAGCAGCTCTTCTCATTCTCGTGAAAGCACCAAACACAAACACACACCCATCCTGTCCACAACAGCTCAGGGACCACGCAGGTGCAGCCCGAGGCCCCCTTCTGCACAGGATCATCTCTCAAACGCCAATCCAATCTCTTGGTTGCTGCAGATCCGCCGAGGTCCCAGGTTGGTTGCTACCCTGAGTCTCATCTGGACCCCGAGGTCCCTGACTCTGTCACAGAGGTCCAGAAGGCCTTGCAGGGTGTGGAGGCCTGTTCCAACCAGGCCTCCAGGCAGCCACCGGGGGCCAGGGCAGGTGGAGCAGGTTTTCTTCCTGGCTCTTTTAGTTCCCTGGCTTACCCCCCACAGCCCCAGGAGCTCTCGAGCCCTGGCAGCTCTGCCGCTGGCTGTTCAGAGGCCAGAGCAACCATAGAAGCCCTCGGCTAACACGGCCCAGCTGTCCCCGAGGCTGCTGCTTGCCATGCTGGTCACCTCTGCCAGAAGCAGGCTGGGCGTGAGCAGACCCTCTTATCCCCCTCCAAGGCTCCCAGCACACAGACTGGCAGCATGGGGTCAGCAGCGACCCTGCCCTCCGAGAAGGGGTCCTTAGGGAGAGAACCCCAGCCACAGCAGGGCACCGACCCACAGCGGGGCAGGCGGGGACTGCTCTGCACTCACAGAACCCCAGGGGTCCTGAGTGGGGACCACGTGAGGTCACCATGGGCGGTCACCAAGCAGCTCTGTCAGTGTCCTTCTTAGGGGCCACACACGGTGGTGGCGGCAGCGCCCCGCATGCCGCCCCCTCACGTGTGTGCCACCTTGCAGATGCAGAGCAGCCTCAGGCGCATCTTGCCTGCCCCTCCAGGTGACCTCGTGTGACACAGTGCCTAGGGCTCCTCAGTTTCTTCTTTGTTTTCTTAAGAGGACAAAACCGAACTCAAGGAATCAGGTGACTTTTCCAAGGACATGTGCATTAGAACAAAGACAGAATACCTTTCTGTCCCAGAACCAGCACTTTTTTGCCCAGTAACACCCGGTGCTCCAGGTCCTCGCTCAGGGGCTCTCTCCTGACCTCAGAATGCAGATACCAAGTTTCTCTCTGAGTGCCGTGGGCCTCCTGCAGATAAGGGAGCCCGTTTCTGAGAGAAAGCACGTGCTTATCAGGAAAACTGAATTGGACACTTTGGAAGTCGGGTCATTTATGCCTGGAAAGCTCCATCCTTTGTAATGTGGACAGCGAGGGTGGACAGCATCCTCGACAACAGAGAAAAGCATTTCTAGCTTGGAAAACAGAGGAGCCACAGAAGAAGCAGCACAGGACTCAGCAACTACCTGACTGGCAACGCACGGCAAAGGACCCAAAGCAGCCGCCCGATCTTCCGAAGGAAATGTTTTCCAAAGCAGAGGAGGAGGAGGAGAAGCAAGGAGAGAGAGAGGCGGATGAGGGAAGGTAGCTGGCTGGCTCTGCAGGCCCTCTGCTAGGCAGGCAGCCTATCCTGCCCAGGGGCCAGCTTCCTCACCTGGGGAAACACCGAAGGTGGGCAGAAGTGGTTTTCATGGAGACCTGCAGACCATGCCCCCTAAACGGACCCACACAGGAGGCACCAGCTGCTATAAATACAGGGTGGCAAGGGCTGATGCCCTGCCCTCCTACGCAGACACCCAAGCACAGCTGGCCGAGACAGCACGGGGCAGGGCAGCACAAACCCTCGGAGGTGGAGCACCCCGAGTATGGGCGCCATGGCACCCTGTCATCCCACATGTCACAGAGGCGCTCTGACGGCACCTCCACTTCTCAGCCACAAAGCCCAGCCAGCCCTGCCCTGACCCCCACGGCCCTGTGGCAATACCTGGAGCAAACAAATGTTCTCTTCCGGTGGGAAAAGTCTGCTCTGCTTACCCAGAGGAGATACCTGATCACTCAGGCAGGGCGCTCGGGACAAATCCAACCAGACCCACTCCAAGCAAAAACGTGGGGCCGCCATGCATGCATGTGCAGACCCGTTTCGGAGCCACATTCTCCAGCTCGTCTGTGTGGAGATGGGACCCACTGCGCTATCTCTCCTGAGCACATTTGTAAATGGGTTTGCAGTCAACCATCCCAAGGTCCTGGTCCCTGGGTGACGACAAACCTATAGGCAGTCTATATGCGGTCACTGTCATGGAGGAAAAAACGAACGAGAATTTAGTATCATTAAGGAAGCAGACATAAGTGCTAAGCCATACTTGCCTCGCAAAATAGTCTTTGAAATCTTGGGGGAAATATGACCAGCTAAACAGGAAGGTGTTCACACCGAGGGTCCTCTCAGCAGGAAATGCGTGATCCCTCCAAGGTCCCTGGAAAGGCTTTACATGTGGGAACAGCAGCCACGAGGCAGTGCTGGCGTGGGACTTCCTGTCCACACCAGGGCTCTGGGGACGTGGCTCCACTGCTTAGATTCAAAATCTAAGCTCAGAAACAAAGACAACATCTGGCTTAAGTCAGGTACTTTAACCACGTCTGAGAGGAAAAAGTTAAACTATAGCAGCGTCCCATGGGTGAGCGGGCAGCTCCAGACTGGAGAGGGCCCCTGAGAAGCTCTCAGTGTGGAGCAGGCTGAAAAGGCGGGAGCAACCACAGCCTCTAGGCAAGCAGAGACGAGGAGTGGGAAAAGAACAAGCCGCGAGCATGGCTCCTAGAAGGGGCTCCAGGAAAGGGCTTTAGTTTAACCTACTAGGTGGAGCATAAAGTGGATGGTATTAAACCGAAAACAATGAAACCCTAACTTGTAGACTGCACCCAGATCGGGAGCCTTGACTGCCGAGCCAAGGACTCTGCACTTCATCTGAGCAGCAGAAAAATCCCCAAGAGTGTGAAAACCCGAGGAACACTGAAGGCAAGGCTGTGTCGTGTGACACTTAATCCGGATAGATGGGAGGGGCACAAGCGGAAACAAGAGGGGATGGAGCAACCGGCAGCACCCTGGAGGCACGGCTGTGTTAGTCGGGTGAAACAACAGAGACCACTTCTCATGGGCCGGGTACTGGATGTCCAAGAACACGGACCAGGAAATTCAGGGCCCAGGGAGGCCGCTCCCCCTGCCCCGCTCACCAGTGTCCCCACGCGCAAGGACAGGGAACAGGCGCCCTGTCTCTTCTTGAGGGATCGAACCCTGCACACAGTCCCTGCCCGGGTCCTGCTGTGGCCAAAGCCACCTCCAAGGACTCAGGCCCTACCTACCAGGGCTGGTCTCTGTCACACGCATTTGGGTCACAAGATCCAGTCCACAGCAAGGTCCCTCCAGTAGATGGCAGGAGGAGGGAGATAGCACCCTAGAACCGGTGAGTGCACTTTGTATTTCCGATGACATCTGAGGCCAGTCCATGGTTTCCTGAGAAAGAGTCAAAGGGAGCTTCAGCACAGCCACACCACCCACCAGGTCAGGCCACACCTCCGGCCTCCCACGCCCCGGGCCCTGGCAAAGCCGGGGTGAGGCTGGACCCCACTACCCGTCAGTCAGGGAGCTGAGCAGCTGCCCTCCAGGACCCCTCTTGAGTCACCAATTCCAGGCCCTATTGCACCAGTAAAGGTCACAAATGCAAGCTGCCAGATTCTGAGGAAACCAGGCTTCATGAAGGCAAGGTACACAGGGACGCAGGACGCTTTGGGGTCAGCCTCAGGAATGGACACCAAGGTGCCAGGCCACACTGGGGCCTCCTGCTTCCAGCCGTCCCTCCGGGTTAACGGCCACCTGTTTTCACCGTTCCTGATTAAACTCCAGTGTGAAAAACTTCTTCCAGGAAACACACTCCAGAAGTTTCCAACATATGCGATCTGTAACTTAATATTCCTCCTGACACAAGAAAGCCCAGACCATACATAAAAATGGGGCTCGGCCACAGCCTGCAACCACCTGCCGGGAGCCAGGCGGTACGGGACCCACGGCCAGGACAACAGCCTGCCAGGTGGATGGGTGGGACTCGGGCGCCATCTCTGGGACCTGCAGGGGCCACAGTGATGGGCCCTGGTGCAGGCTTTGTCAGTGGCCGCCCACTGCCCTAAGTCATCCCCCTGATTCCAACCTAGGGCACCTGCAACCCCTCACAGGCGACGCTGGCTCCTGGCCAGGACCTTTGACCTCTGGGGTGATGGCCTCTGTTAGGCTTGTCCAGGCCGTTCCTTGACACCACAAGGCATAGGGTCCCCTGTGGGCCTCTCTCTGCCAAGTGCGGTGACAGCGCAGGCTCTGAGGAAGGAGAGCCTGCCCTCGTGTGGGGACAGTCTCTTGATTCCCACAAAGGATCTGTCCCACTCACCAGCTTCTCCCCCAGGTCAGTCACACAGACAACTTGACAGCCTGGAGCAGCCAAGTCTGCACGTAGCAGTCAGTTCCAGAGCAGTGGGAGGGTCCGAGCCTTAGGGAGCCATAAAGGCCTCAGAAGCCAGACCCCGAGCTCCCCAAGTTCCTCACCTTCCCGCTGGTAATCACGCAGCCATCAGCAACACTCGCAGCTCCCTCGGCCTCTGCCTGCATCTCTGATGGCACATGTACAGCACAGCCCCACTAACTGCAGTTGGCAGACAGAGCTGCACAGCACCAGGGCCTCCTGTCCTGTCCCACTTGCCAGGGAGCATGGCAAGTCTCAGAGGGACCCTCGCTCCCCTGGACACACCAGATGGGAGACACAAAACAGGCTCTGAGTTTTCGCCTTAGGCACAAGTGGCTTCCAATACATGACCAGATTCGTAATTAAAAAGTGATTTTTCTACACCACCCCATACATCTATTTGTAGAGGACTCGGACGGGCTATTGGATCTCCCCAAATCCTCCTCAGAATCAGAACTAAGATGCAATGTGTGACCCCTACCCCACCAGACCTCACTGAAAGCCATCCGGAGACATCTGAGTGTGACCAGGACACTATTCAGACACGGGCAGAGAAGCACAGGCCGGGGAGGGAGGATGCTGCATGCATCAGCTCAGAGAGGGGCCCTTTACAACAGGCACACAGGGTAAAGGGTGAGAGGCGGGAGGGCCCCAGCACTGACACCTGCCGCCCATGTCTGCAGTCCAGGGTGTCTGCTGTGTCCTCTCCTCTCCCACCCAGGGCCAAGATCGTGAGGCTGCCTCGGGGCTCCCTGCAGGATGTGGAGCAATTCTGAGGCTCAGCTTTAGGCTTGGGGGTAAAAAAATCGTGTAGGAGGTGAGCTTTGGGCAGCCCACGTGGCGTGACCACGAAAGACTCTGAGGTCAGGCTGCCCAGGCTCCCAGGCTTCTGCTGCCTGTGTGATGTTGGACATGGCCTCCAGTCTCTCTGTGCCTCGGTTTCCTAGATGGTCACAGTGATGGCACTGCTCTAAAAGTGAAAGGAGTTACACATTTAAAACACTGAGATTGAGTTCAATGTGTTAAATGAACAAGTACCACTGGCTATTATTAAATACATCCAGGACTCACATTTTGTATTTGCCATGCACAAAAATTCACACAAAACTATTAGCAATCATCACCTTAAGAGGAGGTGCAAAGACTGGCTTCTGACCCTAAAGTATGTATTTCTCTGTCACCTGAAATTTGTAAACCAACATGCACACATAATCTGACCCCAAGCGCTGGACTCACCATGCAATTCTCCAGAGCAGTGATCAGTGACACTGGGCAGAAGTCTCCCTCCAGGCTCATTGCTGACTCTTCCCGAGGTCAGTGAAGGCAGCCCCAGGCCCTGCGACCCCACTCTGTGTAATAATTAGTCTCCACGCTGTCCGTTCTGCACAAACCAGGCCACAGTTCGAGTGGCAGGGCCATTCCCCGCACAGCAGAGGTTCACTCTGCTGCCTGCAGCCGTGGTTGCAGTCACACTGCCACCAATGCCAGCCACCCCAACACAGCACCAAAACCCTCCTTACTGTTCGATCCAGGAAGACCTGAGGTCAGGTGAATCTCGGACTGTAAACCCACAGCCCAAATTTTGCTTATTTCATAGTAGCACATCCCTTTTCATTCCTCAGCACAGCCGTGTCTCAGCCACCTTTTCCCAAACTCCTCCATTCAGCTCCTGCCCGAGATCCAGGCTGGACAAACCCTCGCTGGTTTCCCCCTCTGAGAGCAGCCCAATTACCATGGACCACACCGATGAGCACCACTGTGCTTGGGGCTCACAGCCTGCTTGGCACTGCCTGAAGCGCTGGGGATCCATTGTCTTGGTCCACTGTTTACCCTTTTGTGATGGGCACAGGCTCAGGATGTCCAAGAAAGGCCCTAGCTGATAATCAGGACACAGCAAGTGCGTCTCCCTCGGCAGAGTGAATCTTCTCAGGTGAAACATCTGGGGTTTGCAGAGCGGCTCTGTTTCCTCCAAAGGAACGTGGGGCTGGAGCCTCAAAGGGCAGGCGGCTTCACTGCCCGGGGTCACACCGGACAGCTATCCATGTAGGCCACAGCCATGCACTCCTCTCCAACGGCCCCAGCCACCCCACTCTGCTCATCATCATGGCAAGACAAGGATGTGCAGGGTGCTGGGGACATCAGGGTGACGCTCTCTCAGGATGCTGAGGGATCCGGGAAGGACGCAGCTAAGACCAGCTACCTGGGGTCTTCCCGAGCTAAGAAGGCCTCTGTGCCCAGTTCCCTGCAGCAATCTCATGCCTCCTCCCAGGTTCCTTCCCTTCCACCCTTGTGAGCTCAGCTGAAGTCCCAGGAGACTGTTCCACCTCTTGGGCCACCTCGTCACTTCTACAATCCATCAGACACTCTGCCCTGCACCTTATGGCACCTCACCCCACTTGGGCAGGGTGCAGCTGATGCCCCCCCCACACAGAGAAGGTGCTTGATAAGTAAGTAAATGAATGGGAGGAGGGTACAGGGACTGGGACCAGCCCAGCCTACAGGAGTGCACATTGACAGCTCCTGCCGTGGGCTGTCCCGGCCCAGGGCTGAGAGCTCAGTTCTAGCACCAGCTTATTTAAAAGGATCCAACTTAGGAGGAGCCCAGAGAGGGATGTGGTGCGGGACAGGGTGCCCTCTGGATGTGCCACCCCTCCCAGGCTCTCTAGAGGAAAGCTCTCAGGCCTGCAGTTCAGAATTTTGCTCATCTCATTATGCAGGCGGCCTGGCGACCTAACTAACTAACTCCATCTCCACCCCTGCACCCTCCCAGGAAGCTGAGGGTGGGCCTGAAATCTCCCACACCATGGTGCCTTGGTTGTTCTGGCAGCCAAGCCGGCTCTGGTGCTGACCCCTCTGATGCTGACCCCTCAGCCCAGCCAGCTCCCTGTAACACAAAACACAGCCTTAGTGCTCCAGAGATGCCGGAGAGCTCAATGCTAGTGTCAGGACCAGGAGTAGGACCAAACTGCCTAAGGAACAAGGTTCCCACCACTCCCGACACTCAGCAGTCACGAGAGCCTCGAGGGCTTCGGGCCAGGAACCAGGCAGATGAAGATCAAACCAAGAGCAAACTCGGATTCCTTACCCCATCACAATAGCAGGACGATTAGATCAGGAGGACAGACACAGAAGATCAGGGGTGGCAGAGTAAGCGGCCTAAGTTTTCTCCTCCCAAATGTGAGGCCTACAGAAACGCAAACACACACACACACACACACACACACACACACACACACACACACTCACACCCCTCGGAGCAGTGATGGCCTGCGGGGACGGAGTCCATGTGGAGAAGGGCAGGGTAGATAATTGCTATGTTTTTGTTCTAAGTCTTGAAGAACTTTTGACCCTAAAACTATGTGCCCGTATAACTTTCTTTAGAAAGTGGTATTTGATATTTAAACAAAATCTGATACTTCACCAACAAGGATATCATACTGGGTGGTGTATCCTCAAACTGTTTGGAATCCAACCACTTTGAAAACGTCTGGAAAGCTAGAACTTCTTTCCCAGTGAACACACACAAACCCTCTGCCTCGGAGTTTATAAATCCTGCGGGCTAAGACAAGAATCTTAGGGCTGTAGGTTCTTGTTTTTTGTTTTGGGGTTGTTTTATTTGTTTTGTTTTGGTTGCTTGTTTGGGGCTGGGGCTGGAACCCAGAGCCCCACAAACACTAGGCAAATGTTCTACACGGAGTTGTATCCCCAGCCCAGACCATGGGTTCTTACAGGAAATTTACTGCAAAGCAGGGCTTGTTATTTACTATGGGGGGGGGGGATTCATGAAATTTACCAAACACGTTTCCATATAAACAAGGCCATGAAGCATTTGGGGTGACCTCACTGGCATCAGCTTCCCTGTCCACAGCTGCCCCCCAGCCCCCCAGCCATCACCAAGGGCACAGACTCCCTCTTAGGTTTTGCTTTGACCTAGGAAGAGTGCTCTACACCCACTTAGCCGTCTCCGCCCTGGGAAGGGATCCCACACT